AAGAAAGGAAAGGAGGAAGGAAGGAAGGAAGGAAGGAAGGAAGGAAGGAAGGAAGGAAGGAGGGAGGGAGGGAGGGAGGGAGGGAGGAGCAGGAGCAATAACAGTATTAAGTGCTCTCATTTATGGAATATTAAAAAAGATAGTATGAGACTAATATGCAAGGACAGAAGAAATAGGGTCCTTGGGGACTGGTCCATGTTTGGAACTTGCCACAATCTGTGTAGGGGATGGAGGGCAGTTAGGATAGAGAGAGGACCTCTATGACAATAATAGTTGGAATGATCACTCTGGATAAGAACTGTGTGCTGAAAGTAGGAAGAGGATAACTTTTCAGTACCTGTACTGCATACCATAATACTCAAAAGGAAACACAGGAATACTGGGGACATTGGTGGTGGGAAATCTACACTGGAGAAAGGACCAGTGTTGGAACATTACTTCTCTGAAACCCAATCATAAACAAGTTTGTAACTGTGTGTCTCATGGTGATTCAATATTAAAAAAAAAAATACTATGTAAAAGAATAGCATTAGGTGCTGAATTTTAAACAGGAGCTATAGGAAAAAGAAACAGGGAGGTATAGTGCCACCAACAGGTCAGCCTGTACCTGTGGGGCGAGTGCATCAGCAGCCTGATGTTGCCTTCAGGCTTCCTGATACCCCAAAATTGCCTTTGTGCCTTTGGCCAGACCCCAGTAACTTGGGAACAACTTTACCAAGAAATTAAATGGCCAAAAGTTAAGTATGTGGGAGTCACACCCACAGACCACCTCTGGCTCAGGTATACAAGCTCACTCAGAGTTGGGATGGGCTACCTGCCCCACTTCCCAATACACATGGAAGAACTGGCAGTAACCCCCACAAACCAACTCCAGTACCACTCTGTAAGCTCTACTGTTGGTCTTGCCTCAGAGACCCCTAAATAAATCTTGAAAGAGATCAAAACCCGCAGTTAAGCTCAGACCATACATGGCTGAACAGTCCAGAGAAAATTGGAGGGGGCGAGTTGGCCTATGCCCGCCCAAGCAGAGTTTCCCGGCAACCATTTGCTTCCACAATCCGAAATTGCAACCATACCCCAAGCCTAACTTCACCATCTCAGGATGGACATCACCAAGATATAATCTGCAGAAAATTTTGTAATGTGGATCTTAATGTACAAACAGCCCTGGCCCAGAGACTCCCAAGTGAATCCCAAAATGGACTAGTGCCATACAAAGATGTCTCTGGAACCCAACCATTTAAAATCTAGAAATTTACATTTACAATCGTGGTGGTGCGAGCTCTTGTGATATTCAAAATGAGCTATGGAAAATATATTCTACTCTTTAGCGTCTGCTCCAGCAGGTATACTTGAATGCTGGTGGGAAAATTCGAGCAAAATTAATGCCAAAATTAGAGAAAGAGTGTTGGGGAGATTGTCTGCCATAGAGGCAAGGTGAGGACTGCAATGTGTATGTGTGTATGGGGGAGGGGGTGATACTTGGGACATTGATGGTGGAAAATGTGCACTGATAGAGGGATGGGTATGGCTGAATCTCAAGCATGAAATCTTTGCAATTCTATCTCACGGTGATCCAATAAAATAAAAAAAAAATAATGTAGAGCTCATGCCCAGTTCAATCAGCTTAATCAATGGCTGAACAAATATCAGTACTTCTACATTATTAAAAAAAAAGAAAAAGAAAACAATGAGATGCCTAAAAAGTTGAAAAGAAAAAAAACCCTGCCATGTAGAATTTTACAACTGGAGAAAATACCCCCACCCCAAATAATTCCAAAGTGAAAAATGAAATAAATTTATTTTCAAACACATTCAATCTGGTGAAATTATTCAACAATTGGTTCACTTTACAAGAAATAATACAGATAATTCTTCAGACTAATAAAAAATAATCATGGAATGATAAGCTAGGGTGTTATAAAACAAGAAGGAATAGATAAAATTAAAAATAAACAGTAATGTAACTTCTAATCACTAAAAGAAAAACATATAGATATACAAGTTTACATAATAAACAAGATAAAATGGAATAGTTCAGAATATTTGAAATATTTCAGTGTTTCCCATTTTCTGGTGAGATTAATGCCAAGATTCTTACAGAGTTTCTCAAACTTTCTCCAACCTCCTTCCAACTCAGTTTAACACATAGGAAGTCATCTGAAATCATCCATTGTAGTCAATTTGGGATTGTACTTCTTCCCACGTTCATATTTGACTTATATTTTCTTGCATCATTTCCTGGATCTAGACTTCCAATTATCTTAGTCTGAGTCCCAGCTAAGATTTAATCTTCATTCTGAGACCCTTCCAATCAGAGTTAAATGACCTCATAGGTACTTCCATGGAAATCTGTGCATGAATAGTTCAAGTTAGTGTAATTTCGTTTTTTAGTTTTTTTCTTTTTTTTCTTGATTGGTGAGTATCTAACTCAGGGTCAGTTCTTGGAGCCACTTCTGCAGTGCTTAGGAGTAGTCTGATTCTGGGGATCTAACCTGGGACTTCAGTCTGCACAAAGCCTTTGAGCTAGTTCTGGCCCTCAAGTTGGTGGAACTTTTAAAAGAAGGAACAGGCATGAAGAAAAATGAAAATATTTTAAAAGTCAGGAGGAAAGGAAGACAAACTGAAGAAAATTTAAAAATCAAAAGTTAAAAAAAATTTAAAAACAGTAAAAATTTTTATATAATGGAATCCAGGAAGAAGGAAAAACTTCCCTCTGAAAATGTAGTCTTTTAGTTATTTTGGTATTATCCAGACTCCATCTGCACCTCACACACACACAGTCTATATGATAGTTCAACAGTGTGTGGAGGGAAATTATTCAGCTGCAGAACGTCAAGGCTTGAGCTGGAGCTCACATTCTCGGAGAAGCATGTCACTGCCTTTACTTTGACCTCTCCACCTTTTCTCTTCACAACTTCTGCTTACTCCCTGTCACTTATTTATTTCTTTTTGCCTCAATCTGACTCCTCAAGACATCTTGGTTCCCTTCTGTATACACATGTTTGTGTTCCTGCACTGCCTTTACACTTGTCCCTGACTTTCTCAGTCTTTTCTTACTGTCTGTTCCTAAGAACTGTTTGCCTCTGTGACTCAGAAGAACAAATCAGTACTACCCATATTAATTTTTTTAGATGAACCATCCTGAGTAGAACAATGAGATGAAGACTGGAGACTATACCAGATGCATTAACATTTATTTAAATACAGTCTGAAGATTTATGGATTCATGTTTTTCAAAGTGAACAGAGACCATAGGTGACTGTATAAAATGATTAAATGATTATGCATTTAGCCAGGAACAGGGTGAAAACTAAAAAGGCAGCTGATAATAATTACATGGAAACTATGCTGATGAGAATGACAGTTTTTCCTTACTTACAAGTAGAATTTAAAAAAATAACTTTACCAACTTCTTCATTTCCACAGGAAATCAAATCAAACCAAAATGAGAAGCTTCTGCTTACTTGAGTGAACATATGCTTCACTAATGAAAGGGTTATTAAGTCTCAAGGATAATGGTGAACCACTATTTCAAGGGATTTGAAAAATTTAGAAGTTGCAGATCTCAGATCATATGAATATAGTTCAAATCTTGTTCGCTGTTACCAGTCGAAAATCATACATCTTATTAGTTGTGTTAAATAAGTCCCCCTGCAGTGCCCATGTTCTTTTTGAGTATCACACTGAGAATCAGTTTTGCTGCCTGTACCTGCACAAAGGCCCCTTGGTGGGTAGGACTTTCAGAAAGAAATTATTCCTTAATCTCTTACAAACTCAAGACAAAACAAGTGACTGCAAAGTACAGCATTCTTTTGCACAACTTACTTCCAAATTTTTAGAGATCATTTACTAAGGTTTTATAAGCTGACTGTTCTCTGTCATCATTTTAACCTACCACTGCAGCTGGGAGTCTCTCAGACAATACACTTTAAGTAGCCTCCATTTAGAGTATTGCTCATCAAGAACACAACACAAATTGTTAGACACTTTGTCCTTTCTTTGGTATCTGTTTTGAAAATTAAAATGGAGGGGAAGCCTTCTCCATCACAGACTTAGAAAACATTTAAGTCATTCTGACCATTCTGACTTCAGAAAAGTGACAAAATAAGAATATTCTCTTCATTCAGTTCATTTTCTTGACTGTCCTTTCTGGGAGAACAGATCTGCTGAGCTACTAATCTTAATAGTCAAAACACCTTTCATTTCACAGCAACACATGAGGCTTGTTAATTTCATACATTTCAACTTTCTTTTTTTAAAAAAAATTTATTAGTGAAACACCATGAGGTACAATTGTAGATTTACAGATTTTTGTGCTTGGGTTTCAATTATACAATGATCAAATACCCATCCCTCCACCAGTGCCCATTTTCCACAACCATGGATCCCAGTATCCCTCCCACCCTCATTCCCCCCATCCCACCCTTCCTCTGTGGCAGGGCATTCCCCCTTGTTCTCTCTCTCCTTTTGAGTGTTATGTTCTGCAAAAGAGGCTTTGAGTGGCAATCATGTTCAGTCCATAGTCTACTTTCAACATGCATCTCCCCTCCTGGGAGCATCCTCCAAACACTCTTTATTTGGTGTTCCCTTCTCTATCTGAGCTGCCCTTTCCCCTAGAATGCCCGGCTGGCCTCTATGCTATGGAGTAATCTTCCTGGTACTGATCTCGGCTATTCTTGGGTATTAATCTCATATTTTGTTACTTTATATCCCCCAGATGAATGCAATCTTTCTATGTCTATCCCTCTCTTTCTGACTCATTTCGCTTAGCAGGATACTTTCCATACTGTACAACTTGTATGTAAATTTCATGACTTCATCTTTTCTAACAGCTACATAGTACTCCATTGTGTAGATGTACCAAAGTTTCTTTAACCAGTCATCTGTTCTTGGGCACTCAGGTTTTTTCCAGATTCTGGCTATCATACATTTCTACTTTCATTTCATTGTGTTTTATGAGGACAGATGATGAAAATATTTAAAGACTGAGGACTTACTTTCAGAAAGTGATGGAAGTTCTGGCATTTGGGGACACTCCACCTCTGGTTCATCCCTAAAATATTTCTCAGGTTCTAGAAGAAAGGCTGGTTTATTTACTTCAGGCAACTCTTGCAAGTCTTCAATATTCAATGACCTAAAGGCACCTTCACAACAATGTATTAGAGTGTAGAACTTTTCTCTTTAAGAAAATACAATATGATTAATTCCTCAAGAACTAACAGATTCCAGTGTTAAATCTTTTGATATATTTATATATATATAATTTAACCTTCCTATTACTCAGTAGGTACAGCTGCAGAGATCAGCAAATCCTACAAACACAGCTGTTCAGGATAAATCCATGATCCTTTTATTCAAAGAGACTAACAGGAACTCATAGCTTCCTGTGCATTTATTTTTTTATTTTATATTATTTTGCCATTTTTCTCTTGGAAATGAGGATTCTGAAGTTTTGAAGAAAATTCCAGTATTTTTCTATCTTCAAGAAAATTGTATTCTTTGTGAAATTAAATATTTGGTATTTGATGATACATTTAGAAATTTGAATTTAAAGGTACTTTGTCAAATGAAAGTTTTGACAAAACATTAACTAGACTCTTATGTTTTGTATGCATAAATAAATGAATTTATCATGCATACAATAATAAATGCAAAGGTAAGTTCTTTTAATCATGTACTTAAAAAGCAAAGGCTGGGAACAAGTGCAAGGTTTTTTTTTTGTTCTGGAAGATAGAAAAGTAATAAAAACTTAATTCAAGTTGTGGTTTTGTGTTAGTTCTGTGAGGATAGGAACTTCACTTTTGTAATCATAATGGCTCACTACCTGGGAAAAGTAAACTAATGCATATTCGGCAGCTGTAATGGAACAAATCTTATGCTGTGTCAGTGGTTCTCAAACGTTGACATAAAGATTACCTGCAGTGCCTCTTCATAAATAAGTTGCCATGTAGCATTTCCATTTCTGATATAGGACAAAGAAAATGGGGCCCTAGGACTCCTAAGGTATAGGTGACCCTATTACTGCCTTACCACACTTTGAAAATCAACGTGCTATGCTAAACCAAAGACTAATTCCTCACAACCTATAAGTACCATTACGTCCTTCTGACAAAGGAGGAAATTGTGTCTCTTTAAGACACATTACTAAATATTTATTCAGATAGCTATTAATTGGTTATATTTTTTTATTCCAAAATTTATTTCCTAAGGTACAATAATACTAATAAAATTATAGTTTATACAATATACTAGGCACTGTCTTAAGTGCTTTCCATGTACTATCTCTGTCATTCTGACAAAAATGCTTTTGGAGCAGATTAGTTTATAAATGTGAATTGAATGTTAGCAAATACTTATGTGTCTTTTACAGAAAAATTTAACAAAATTTCTAAATATTATGCACCTATTACAGAGACGAGCAACTTTCTCTTGCCTATAAGTTAAAAACATTTATAGTGAGTTTTTCTCATCTTAGTAAGAATATTTCATCATGATATTCTTATTATATCTTGTTTCAAATATGATGGAGATTTGACAAAGTCTTACTGTCAAATAGTATGTTTCTGTATAAAATTATTATTTGGTTTCAATTATACATTTCATTAGTTATTTTAGTTTTAGTTATTTTACTTTTTATTATTAATTTTTTTCTGATAAGTCAAAAACCAAACAACGTATTTTGCTGTGTGGCCCAAGACTTACTGAGAGCAAAAACAGTTTAATTTATTTAAATCTCTTAAGAAGAGAGAATAATTAATGTTCTCTATCTTGAGAACTGTAATCTTGACCTTAACATAAGTGCTTAGACTTTAAACTTCCACCACTCGTATGTCATACAGACTTGGACGATTCACTTAATATCTCTGAGTATAAACTTTCTTTTTGTTTATCACAAGAAAGAAAGGATATCACAAGATCTTGTCTTTACATTTGTTAAAGGATACTAAAACTCCTGGCACATAATCATTTGTCTTATTCATATCAATCTATAAAACAGTAACAGCATAAGAATGTATCAGTACTTATTACTTACTGGATGCTTCGGGTGTAACATCTTCATTGTAAAGTTTATATGTTTTTTTCTTATAGCTTTTTCTCTCCTTATATTTTATGCCTAAATTTAAGACTCTTGATGGTCTGACACTGGAAGAAAATAATTTGTGATGAAATAAAAAATAACCTCAATAGAGAAACATATTTTCTAGCAATAAAAATACACACCATAATTTGACAAATTTATGTTAAATTTATGTCAAATATTTATATCCTGGGAACCCAATTTATTTACAGTTTTCACACCATGTTTCTCAATAAGACACCAAAAGCCAAGTGATGATATAACAAAATATCAGGCCAGAGTGATTGTTTAATATTCAACGCGTTTTCCTTACATGTGGCTGCCCCTAATTTGATTCCTTGCACAACATACTCTGAGTACCACCAGAAATGATCCATGAGCTCAGAGCCATGAATTAGCCCTAAGTGCTATGAGGTATGGCCCAAATCCCACCACTTATCACCAAAGAGCTTACTAATCTTTTATAATATTAGCTTAATAAACTAATCAATCCAATATTTTATCTCCAAAAATTCTAGGGACTCAGAGAAAAAACATATAGAATTGCACATACACACATATAATGAGATTCACCTACATAATAATTATTTAGCTATTAAAAATAAATATCAGTGGTGTGCATCAACAGCCCTTTTTACCCATTGTTAGATCTTTCTTTTTTATATCTTGTATAAATCTACGAATATATAAAAGCACAGATATTTACTTGTGATATTAATAATGTCAAAAAGTTGGGGATTTTTTATGCCTGTCGTAAATCTATAAAAAATATTTTCATTGAATAGAAGGATGAGAATGGGCATCTTGTCTTGGACCTGATCTTAGAGGGAAGGCTTTTAGTTTTACCCTTTGAGAATGATGCTTGCCGTGGGCTTGTGGTAGATGGCTTTTACTATATTGAGGAAAGTTCCTTCAATTTCAATTTTGCTGAGAGTTTTCATCATAAATGGGTGCTGAATCTTGTCAAATACATTCTTTGCATCAATTGATGTGATCATATGGATTTTATCTTTTCTTTTATAGATATGGTGGTAGACTGGAGTGATAGTACAGCAAGTAGGGCATTTGCCTTACATGCAGCTGATCTGGCCAACCCGAGTTCAATTCCTCCGCCCCTCTCAGAGAGCCCGGCAAACTACTGAGAGTACTTTGCCCTCACGGCAAAGCTTGGAAAGCTACCCATGACGTATTGGATATGACAAACACAGTAACAAATGTCACAATGGAGACGTTACTGGGATCGCTGGAGCAAATCAATGAAAAACGGGGGAACAGTGACAATGATATGGTGGATTATGTTGATTGATCTGCAAATGCTAGACCATCATTGTATCCCCAGGATGCTTCCCATTTGGTCATGGTATATGATTTTTTTTGATAAGTAGTTGGATTCTATTTGTAATGTTTTGTTGAGGATCTTTGTATTTGTGTCATCAGGGATATTGGTCTGTAATTTTATTTTCCTTCGTGTGGTGTCTCTGTCTGCTTTTGATATTAGGGTGATACTTGCTTCATAGAAACTGTTTGGGAGTGTTTCTTCAATTTCCTGGAAAAGATTGAAAAGGACTGGCAATGAGGTCCTCTTTAGATGTTTGAAAGAATCCTCTAATGAATCCATCTGGACCTGGGCTTTTGTTTTGGGGGAGAATTTTGATTACAGTTTCAATTTCCTTGAGAACGATGAGTCTATTCTGGTATTCCAAATCTTCTTGGTTCAGCCTTTGGAGATTAGAGGAATCCAGAAATTTATCTATTTCTTCTAGTTTCTCTTGTTTCGTGGCATACAGACTTCCAAAGTAATCCCTAGTGAACTTTTGAATTTCTTTGGTTTTTGTTGTGATGACCCCGTTTTCATTTCTGATTCTGTTTATTAGGGTTCTCTCTCTCTTTCTTTGTGAGTATTGTTATTTTTTGAAAGAACCAGCTATTTGGCTTCATTGATCTTTTGGATTTTTTTTTGGGAATCCAGCTCATTGATTTATGCTCTAAATTTTATTATTTCTTTCCTCATGCCTGCTTTGGGCTCATTTTGTTGGTCATTTTCTAAGATCTTAAGCTGTTCAGTGAAGTTGTTTATGTGGCTCTTTCTTCCTTCCTAATAAATGCTTGCAGAGCTATAAATTTCCCCTCAACATTGCTTTAACTGTGTCCCACAAATTCTGGTAGCTCGTGTCTTCATTCTCATTTTTTTTCAGGAATCTTCTGATTTCTTTTTTGATTTCCTCTCTAGCTCACTCGTCGTTCAACATTGAGCTGTTTAATTTTCAGGTGTTTGATTTGATTTTCTGTTTCTTTGTGTGATTAACTGCTATCTGCAGTGCATTGTGGTCTAAAAAAGATAGTTGATAAAATTTCTATCTTCCCAATACTACTGAGGTATGTTTTGTGGCCCAGCACATAGTCTATCCTGGAAAATGTTCCATGTGTACTGCAAAAGACTGTGCATTCAGGTTTTGGGGGGGGTGAAAAGCCTGTATACATCTTTAGCTTCTCTTCCACTTCTTCTTTCAGAGCCAGTACTTCCTTGATGAGTTTTAGTTTTATTAATCTATCCAGAGGGGATAAGGCAGTTTGGAAGTCTCTGACTACTATTGTGCTGCTACCAATGTCCTCTTTGAAGTATATTAGCAGTTCTTTTAAGTATTATGCGGACTCTCACTGGGTGCATATAGATTTAGGGGTGTGACTTCTTTCTGATGTACATATCCCTTGATTATTTAAAAATGACTATTGCTGTCCCTTCTAATCTTTTTCAGCCTGAAATCTATGTTGTCAGGGTATTCCACCCCGGTGTTTTTGAGGGAGTTGTTTGCTTGAAGGAATGTAATCACTATTTGCAGATGGCATGATACTATAAATAGAGAATTCTAAAACCTGTAGCAATAAGCTCCAAGAAAAAAGAGACTTGTATATTAAAGTCACTGGTTGAAAAATTAATACCCATGGCTTCTCTATATGCAAATATTGGGAGAGAAGAAAGTGATATGAAAACAAAATTCCATTCACAATTCATGCCTCAAAAAAATCAAATACCTCAGAATCAGCTTAACTAAGGAGGTAAAGGACCTGTACAAAGGAAACTACAAAATGTTACTTCAAGGAATATAAGAGGACACGAGGAAATGGAAAAACATCACCTGCTCAAGGACTGGGAGAATTTAATTGTCCAAATGGCAATATTCCCCAAACCATTACACAGATTCAATGCAATCCCTATAAGGATACCCATGACATTCTTCAAAGAAATTGATAAGCACCTCTGAAATTCATATGGAACAACAAGCCTTCAGAAATAGCTAAGATAATTCTTGAGGAAAAAAAGATGGGAGACATCACTTTCCCCAACCTCAAACTCTACCACAAAACAGTAATAATCAAAATAGCATGGTATTGGAATAAAGACAGATCTGCAGACCAACAGAATAGGGTTGAATATCCATGCACACACCCTTAAATACATGATCATTTAATCTTTGATAAGGGATCACGAAATAGCAAGAAGAAGAGGAGCAAGAAAAACCTTTTTCACAAATGGTGCTGGCAATACTGGACATCTATGTGCAAAACATGGGCTCAGACCTCTACCAAACACCATGCACAAAAGTCAGATCAAAATGAATTTAAGACATCAACATAAATCCATAAGGTACATTGAAGAATAGGTTGGCAAAACTCTCCACAATATTGAAGCTAAAGATATCTTCAAGATGAAACACCACAGGCCAAACAAGTGGGAGTAAAGATAAACAGATGGGTGTATCTTAGACTAAGCTTCTGCAACTCAAAATAAATAATGAACAGGATACAAAGACAGCCTACAGAAAGAGAAATGATATTCACCCAATATCCTTCTGAGAAGGGGTTAATATCAAAGATATACAAGACACTGGTTGAACTCTAAAAGAAAAGCATCCAATCACATAAGACAATGGGGCAATGAAATGAACAGAAACCTTTTCAAAGAAGACATTCGAATGGCCAAAAGGCACATGAAAAAATGCTCTTCATCACTAATCGTCAGTGAGATGCAGATCAAAACAACAATAAGATATCATCTCCCACCACAGAGACTGGCACACATCCAAAACAATAAAAGGAACCAGTGTTGACGAGGATGTGGGGGGAAAGGGTCTCTTCTTCACTGCTGGTGGGAATGCCGACTGGTCCAGCCTTTTGGGAAAACAGTATGGAAGTTTCTCAAAAAACTAGAAACTGAGCTCCCATTTAACCCTGCAATACCACTTCTGGAAATGTACCCTGGGAACCTAAAAACATACTGCATATGTTCACTGTAGCACTATTCAACATAGCCAAAATCTGGACACAACCTGAGTGCCCAAGAACAGATGAATGAATAAAGAAACTAAGGCACACCTACACAATGGAATACTATGCAGCTGTCAGGAAAAATGAAGTCACAAAATTTTCCTAAAGATGGATGAACATGAAAAGTATGCTGAGAGAAATGAGTCAGAAGGAAAGGGACAGATATAGAATGACTGCGTTCATATGTGATATATAAAAAATATATAGTATCCCACATGGGAGCCTTGTGGACAGCAGGTATGAGCCGGGGGTGTGGGGGCAACTAAAACCTCATGGGAAGGGGGGCGTTCCGGTCCGTCCTTCACGCCCTACCGAGGTCACCAGTTGCCCCCCACGAGCGGCTCTCCAGCACGGCCACGGCCCCAGAAGCACAAGGACTTAATGCAGAACCCGGCAGCTTGGAGCAGAAAAGTGAACGGACCATGCGTTAATCCAGGCCATCAAGTATGCCGGAGGAGAAAGGGTGTTGCCCCATTTGCCCTCTCTTCTCTGGAAAGAAGGATGGCGGCTGCATGGGAGCCTTGTGGACAGCAGATATGAGCCGGGGGAGTGGGGGCAACTAAAACCTCATGGGAAGGGGGGCGTTTTGGTTCGTCCTTCACACCCTACCAAGGTCACCAGTTGCCCCCCATGAGCGGCTCTCCAGCACGGCCACAGCCCCAGAAGCACAAGGACTTAATGCAGAACCCAGCAGCTTGGAGCAGAAAAGTGAAAGAACTATGCGTTAATCCAGGCCATC